GGAAAATTATTGCTGGTTTTCAAATTGTTTTTTTTTTTTTTTCCTTTTTTTAAATAAAACTTTTTGTTTACTTTTTTTTTCCTATTGATTTTATTAAAAAAAATAAAAATACAGATTTTTACGAAGGAATACATTGTAGAATACTTGTTCCGAGAAAATGGAGTGGGAAAGTTCATATAGAGGCATATTGATTTTCTTTTTCCTTTGTTTTCTCCTGAAATTTTTTTCGTATGCATATTGCTGCCACACATTAATAAGAAACCTTACATATTTAAATCTTGTTTGTTTTTTGATTTGTTATTTCTTTTTTTTCATAGTAGATATGAGCAATTGCATGAAGCAAAATATTATCTGTTGAACGTAATATAAGTGTAAAATCAAAGCATTTTCTCATTTTTACCATAGAAGAAGAGAAAATTGTTTTTTTTTCTGCCATCAGTTCGCAGTTCTGTACCCTCACAGTTGCTTTTGCTTTTACATGAAGTCATTCATTGCTGAAGTGTTGTTCAATTTCTGAAAGCAAAGCCACAAATTTACATGTCCCAAAATAAAATTATGATCCATTTGCTTGAAAAGAATTAATATAATGATACTAGGCAAGATTATCTCTTTGTTTCCAAACAAACTTAAGAGAAGAAAATCCTGCACCAATTAAATTCTTGATAACACTTGTTTTGATTGCTTTATATCACTCAGAATTGATTGCTGAACTTCAGCTAATTTGAAGACATGCTGCTGGACTCCTCAGCTGGGACATCATGCTTTAAAAGATTAAAATATGGTTCTGAGGCTGTTGAAATTTGGAAAATTGAAAGCGAAGTCTGTACTGTTTAAGTGGAGAAGAGGGCTAAAAAAAGTTGCAGTGAGGGCTGCTTTCCACGTTCACAGCTTCAGCTGAAAAGACCTTAATCTGGCAGATCCACAGAGGGAAACATCATTCACAGCACAGGAATCAGTTCACCTTTTTCCCTGCATAAAAACTGAAAATAGGTCATTTTTTATGGACACAGGGAAAAAACTCTCCATCTCATGTACTACCAAAAAATGCAGTGCTGCTTCTCTAAGAGCAATTATAAAATCATCTGTATCAATTTCGTTGTACCACTCTTTTTCATTTTTATTTTTATTTTTATTGTTATTTTTATTTTCATTTTCATTTTCATTTTCATTTTCATTTTCATTTTCTATTTTTAGTGGCAGTAACTATTTCTGTAATATTTAGGACATGAAGGCAGATATTGTTTGCAGATCATTTAATAAGCAAAGAACCATAGCTTCAATGCTACAGTATTTTTTCCTTTGTTGTACATTATTACTATTATTACTTGAAATTAGAAAACTCTCCTTAAATAAATAACTTCATGTTTTTCAAAAGTTTTACGAGAAATGTCAAATTCACATCATTGACATGAGGATTTTTTTTTTTTTAATTTTTATCTATTTGAATACAGATATTACAACAGAGACATTTTTAGAGAGTAATTTCATAATTCTCTGTGAAAACTAATGCGCAAACTGTTATTTGGGCTTCTCCAGTGACTTTTAACAAAAGTCTGCTGTTTTCATTTTCCTGATTGTAACAAATATAAGCAAGTTCTGTGTTTTCTGTCACCCTTCTGCAGTGTCATGCTACTGTGGCTCTATGGGCTGTCATACTATTACAGTGTAGATAGTTGAGCAGAACATGGAAGAGAAAAGCAGGTACCATCTCCAATACATCCTCAGGATACTGTATGATTCACAAACACAAGAAATTGAATAATTAATCCTAAAGTGAACGTGAAGTGAAGCTTAAAGGTCAGCTGAGCTGATAGGCATGTTTTGCAGCATAACAATTTTTGAAATTGTGTTGAACTTCTGTATGTTATACAAGGCTGGAAATGCCACGCATCTGCTTTCTGTGGAGCTTCAGCATTAGTTTTTGAAGTTAGACAGATTAAGATCAGTCTTGCATGAAAAGGAGAAGTAAAGTGTAATTTCTGTGGGGAAAGAATCAGATTTTTTAAGTTTTCCTTGCTGTGGAGGACTTGATCATTTATTCCACTGCTAATAGTAAATTAAGTCTTTAAATGTCAGACTATTGTTCTGCATTTCTTAGATCAGCACCACAGAAAACCTCTCACCACTGCTGGCCCAGCATTCCCCACTAAGAAGGGGACCTGCAGGGAGTTAACAAGCACAGTTTGCCTTGCTGCTTGTCTGCAGAATGTTCAAAGCAGTGCTCTTGCTGCCCTTAAATTTCACAAGCATATTACACTCCTGTTGGCTTCAGTGTCTTCACAGTTTCCTCAAAATCAGTATCCAAAACTGACTTACCCAGAAAGACTAAAGCAATCACGCTGGAAATGTAACTTATCTAGTTTAGAAATCAAGTGCATTAGCCACACAAAGCAGAAATGCTGAGAAGTCTGAAAATAGACAGCACTGTTGTTTCCACTGACAATAATATAACGTACTTTGTCGACACTAAATTCCCTGGTAAAAATATATATCCATACAAAATAGAGGATAGTAAGCATTCTCATAATGACAACAACGGTCGTTTGAAAATACACTGTAAAATATTCATGTCTCAAGATTATACATGTGCTAATAAACAGAAAAATCAGATGGAAACATTAATTTTAAACATGCACTATATGTGATAATAGAGAATTACAGTGAGACATTTCTTCATTCTGTTGTAAAATACAACTCCCTAAACAGCAAAACCTCTGAGGAAATATGACATTTTTGGCAGCATAAAGTTTGAAAATACATGTAGTAATTTTTATGAAAATACACAGCATTTTAGTTTTATTTTTTACAAATTAAAAAATGCAAACTTTTAATTTTAAGATATAACTTTATGTAATTCATTTCTAATTAAATAAGCAAAATCAACTCAGGAATCATATATTTGAAATCATTAATAATAGAATGGCATTTCTTTAGAAAATTTGTAGTGATTGAAAATTAGAGATTCTGTACTTAGGGATTTCTTTTTCCAAAAGCTATTTACTAAGACATCAGAATTACAATACTCAGATGTTAAATTTCAATGTTGTCCAATGTCATCCTACAGAGCACCAAGGATAAAGTCAAAGTTTTCATGCTTGAGACAACAGAGGATCTCATATTCAGCACCTCATAAATCCATCATTAAAAATTCTGTTTATGTTTAGTTATAAAATAGAACATTAAGAAGTTTTCTTCATCATTTTCACTTAATCCATACCATGTTACACATTACATAACAAACTTTAACTGTCCTGCTTTGAGCCAGCTTACTTTGGGAAGAAGTTCTTTACTGTGAAGGTAGTGAGACACTGGACCAGGCTGTCCAGAGAGGTGGTGGATTCCCCTTCCCTCGAAGCACTCAAAGGCCAGGCTGCCTGGGGCTGAGCAGCCTGGTCTAGAGGAAAGCATTGCTCCCTGCAACAGGAGGGTTGGAACTAGATAATCTTAAAGGGCTCTTCCATCCCAAACCATTCTAAGATTCTGTGACCATATGTAGCCAGGGCTACCTCACGCAACAAGAAGAGTGGTTGAGTTGGTATAATAGAAAGACAGGATACCATCAAAAAGGACCTGGACAAGCTTGAGAAGTGGACCCATGTGAACCTAATGAGGTACAATAAAGCCTAATATAAGAAGCTGCACTTGGGTTGTAGCACTCCTAGGTATGTGGACAGGGTGGATTAAGAGCCTCTCGAGAGCTACAGCCCTACAGAGAAGGAGTTGGGGGTCCTGGTGGATGAAAAGCTGGATGTGAACCATCAGTGTGTTCTCTGCAGCCTGAAAGGCCAGCAGTACCAGGTAGTAGCAGTAGAGGTTTCACCAGCAGGGTGAGAGAGAGGATTGTCTCCCTTTGCTATGTCCTAGCGAGGCCTCATCAGAAATGCTGTGACCACACCTCAGGGTCCAGTACAAGAAGGGTGCAGAGTTGTTGGAGTGGATCCAGAGGAGAGCCAAAAAGAGGCTCAGAGGACTGGAGTACTTTTTCTATGAAGAAATGTTGAGAGAGCTGGGTTTATCCATCTTGGAGAAGAGAGGGCCCCAGGGAGACTTCACTGCACCTTCCAGTACTGAAAGGGGAACTTATAAACAAAAGGAAGACTACATTTTAATGGGAGTAGGCAATGAAAGGAAAAGGGAAATGATTTAAAACTAAAAAGGAGGAAATTTTGATTAGATATTATGAGAAAATTATTTTTTCAGATAGTGGTGAGGTGATAGAATGGCTTGCCCAGAAAAGGTGTGGACGTCCCATCACTGGCCATGTTCAGTGGAGCCCTGGGCAGTCTGTTCTAACAGGTGGCAACTGTCCATGGAAGAGAGGTTGAAACTAGTTAATCCTTAAGATGTCTTCCAACTGAAGTCATTCTGTGATTTTATGAAAACTGGGGTAACCTTTGATTGTTTCCATCTGAGTAGGATCTCTTTGGATTCTTGACACCATTGAAAAACATTTGAGAGAGATCTCACAGCCAACTCTTTGAATATCCTGGATGGAATTCCACTGGCTCCAATAGGTTTATGTGCATCCAACTGGAGCAGAGAATCCTGCACAAGTTCAGGGTTGTGTGGAGGTTTATCTTTGCTACAGTCATGGTCCTCCAACATGATACTCTGAGGCATCCATGGCTCATTATTTAGGAACAGGCTGTGGATGACAAACTCCGTCTAGAGTTTAGTAAGGCCTTTAACTCTATCTCCCGTCGAATTCTTCTGGAGCAGCTGTCAGCCCATGACTTGAACATGTCAGGGTCATAACAGACGTACTCCTCTCTGAGTAAAAAAATTACAGGTTCCTAGGGCCTGATTGGTGGTGAGCAGAGCTAAATGTTCTTTGCAGAGAGAGTGGTGAGGTGCTGGAACAGCTGCAACACAACAGAGAGGCTGTGGATGCCCCGTCCATCCCTGGAGGTGTTCAAGGCCAGACTGGATGGGGCCCTGGGCAGCCTGTGCTGGTGTGAAATGTGGAGGGGGATTGGAGATTCGTGATCCTTGAGGTCCCTTCCAACCCTGGCCATTTTGTGATTCTGTGATTCTACTGCCAGCTGATAATGAGTAGTGTTCCTCACAGGTCAGTACTGGGGCCAAATTTGATTAATATCTTTACTGATGATCTGGATGAGAGAGTAGAGTGCACCCTCAGTAAGTTTGCAGGTGACACCTAGCTGAGAGGAAGATTGAACTGCCTGAGAGTAGGAAGGCATTACAGAGGGATCTGGACAGGCCGGATTGCGGGACTGAGGACTATGGGATGAGCTTCAACAAGATCAGGTTCTGGGTACTGCACTTAAAACAACTCCATGCGTTCTTGCAGGCTTATGGAAGAGAGGCTGGTGAGATACACAGAGGAAAAGGATCTCGAAATGATAGCCAGACAGCTGAAACATGAGCCAGGGGAGATTCTGGTTGGACATTAGGAAAAAGTTATTCTCCAAAGGAATGGTCTGGCACTGGATCATGCTGTTACAGAGGTGGTGGAGTCACCAACCTTGCAAGTGTTAAAGAAACATTTAGATGTACTGATGGACATGGTTTAGTGGGGAAATACTGGGATAGATGGACGTTTGGACTGGATGTTCTTGGAGGGCTTTTCCAACCCTCGTGATTCTATAATTCTATGAATGCTTTTGGATGTAAAAACTCTACACAAAGTGTTGTTGATTTGTGTCAATGCATTCTTTACCAAGCCCAGACAGAAAGTTTAGTGACTGTAAACACAGTACATATAACTAACATCTCTGAATTCAAGATGTCAATATTTTATTTTTGATGGAATCAGAATGCGTAATGATGAAAATCTCATTTAATAAAATGAAGAATACTCTAGAGAAGAAAATGAAGAAAATGTATATAAATCATATCTCTCCCTTTTGTACAGACACCTAACTGTTGAATGACTATCCCACAGTACAGGAAAATTACGTTTAATTTCCAAGCTGGCTTGTACATCATCTTCATTTTGTATGCTGGAATGTAAATTTTCAAAGGAATGTTTTTCTAATTATGAGCTCTTCATCACATATCTTCAATATTTGACATTATTTACATTGTCAGTTCAGCCATGCATTGTTTTATAGGTAGCAGCAGAACTGTAATGAGAAAAAAATAAGGTAAAACAAAATGTAAACTATTGTATCCTGCTGTATGGCCTTTGTTTAGAGAAGAGTTTCCTGCTACAGCTCTAATTCAAAATGAGCTACTCCACTGCTAATAGAGCAACAACAAAACTTCGAAGAAAACGAATTTTCCTAAAATTCAAGTGGATCTCTTCTGTTTCCTATCTATTAATACTTGTCTTAATAAGACAGTGATGTTTTATAGACTTTAAATGTTCAAAGAGGACAAAGTGAAAACACCTGGCATTATTGAGCTTCTCAGAAGGAGAAGAAATACTGATCTGAAATTGAATTATTTAAGATTAAACTAACAGTGAAGATTAATATTCATAGAAAACTGAGGGTAGACTTCTGCCTTTTCAGCAGTCTCCACACCATACAGATCTGCCCAATTTTTCTTGTTTGGTTTTCAGCCTGTTCTATTTATTTATCATCCTAGCAGTGAAAGAGAGAGGTGTCTTGAAATTTTAGACATTAATATTGCCAATATTCTTTGCAATTCAACAGCCAAGGTAACTATTTTATTTTTTAAGTAACTATTTTATTCGTGAGAAAGAATGCCTTTTTTTGAACAGCAATGCCAGTGATCTGTGGACAGCATGAGCTAGTTCAGAAAAGAAAGAAGAAGAGAGAAAAAATTGTCTCGTATTTTTTTTCCCTACATTTTCTGTATATTGCCAACCACAATAAAAAGAAAGTTTGTTCTGACTCAGTGGACTTTGAATATAATGGTTTAAACTGCAGGCATCTCTCATGTATAGATATTGCAAATCATTTGCAAAAAAGCAGTCTTTAATTCAGTCTCCAGAGCAAAAGATAAGTGAGTTTTTGTAATGTTATGGTTATGATGGTATAAAGTCTTATTGCATATTATGTTCATTTTGCAGCTACTTGAGGTCAGCCTAACATTTCCCAGCTGGAAAATAATTACCTCATCTTGAGCTACATCCCTAAAATAAACACATGCCTACTGATTGAATGAACAGCATAGAAGAACATAGTTTACTCTCTGCAGTTGATATCTTCTTTTCCCCTCCTTAATAGTAGAAAGACTGAAGATGAGACTACCCTTGCACTCTTGATAGTCTTGCCCTTGTGCATCCCTGTCTTTCGTGGCTTTGCTTCTTCCATCTCCCCAGCTTTTGTACAAAATCTTGTTGTGCTGATGGCTGAGGCACCTGGATAGGTACAGCACCTGGATAGCTTTTTTTTCCTTTTTTTTCTTTTTTTTTCTTTTTTTGAAATTGGAACTGGGTGCAACAAACCACCTTATCCTGCAGTCCCACTCTCCTTTCCACTGTCAGCTCAGTGGGGTAAAATCCAGGTTAATAATGGTGTGTGCTCAGGGTCCTGTATGCAGATATAGAAAGAAATACATCTGTACTACCTCCAAGAAAATGTCTTAAATATAATAAATGTCTTTATCTTCTATCTGTAATACAAGTGCAATTAATTATTTCAGTTTCTTGTTACAGATATCTGTCACAATTGTTTACAGTCAGTCTGCCTAGAAAACACAAAGTTGGAGAAGCTAATGTATCTGTTTTTCATTCTTCTGTCATTCATGTAATAGGTAAATCCTTTAAAGGAAAGACAACAGCTTTTAAAAATATTTCTGTGTTTTTGTTTTCGTTTTCCTCACATGGATAAGATTTATTTCATTTTCCACCACTATCCCCTTTTTTTCCTGCAGCTTGAGTTTCTGGACTTGTAGTTGTAAACTACCCATTTAATCATTTAAAAGCAAGAAGGTTAGTAGCATATTTTATTTATTTCTTCTTGGACTTTTCATATTTTTTGTTTTATAAAGTATATGATGTCACGTGTAATTTCAGCCATGTTTAAGAAAACACTTTTCACAACAGTAGTACCACACTGCAATGTATTCAGCCTGGCTAGTTTTCAAAGTTCAGGATAGCATCTCTACATATCACGTTGTCTTAACATGTGCTGCCAGATATAAAAATAGAAATATTAAAAAAAAATTAAAGATACTTTGGAGAAGCAAATTGTAAATTTCAAATTTGAATTAAAACAATAATAGTGATAGAAAAAGAAGAAATTACGATCTTATTTCAGCCCACTGAAAACCTTTTATTTGTGAGGTAACATTAACTGGACCTCCATGACCAGTTTTGAGTGGATCATCCATCAGTATTAGGGCATACATAATTGATTTTGTTGGTTGATAAAACCTCATGTGTAAGACTTTGGAAAATTTTGCAAGAAATCATAAATATTTTCTGGTAATGTTTTATAGAGTACCCGAGAAACTTTTGCTATGTACATAAAACAGACTGTGGGAACTCAGTTGGCAATATGGCTGTGAACTTATTTGCAAATACAGTAAGAAGAAAGTATATGAATTTATTCCAGACTGAAACTTAGCAGGAAATTCTATGTATTATTATTACCTGGTCAGATTTATCCTTTCTTAATTAAAAGGAGCAAGCCAAAAGTTGTTGAACAATAAAAAATTAGGTGAAATATCAGTGTAGTACCTCAAGAGCCCAGCCAAAATTGTGAAATGGTGCGCCATAGAACTAATTGTGTATCTTCAGGTAAAAAACGTGAATTATATCAGATATCTTCCAAAGCTCCCTTCCATCCTCAAACATTCTGTAATTCCGTTTCAAGTGTTTATTGCCTATCACTGCTAGGAGAGTGACAGTCCAGTTTTAGTTTTACAAAGGCATTTTGTTCTCGCTTTATCAATGTGTACTGATCTCATGGCCCCTGCTCTGTTGAATCACTCTAGTTTAACAAAACTCATGCTGACATTCTTTTTCTAAGACCAAAGTAGAAGAAGTGAGGGTAATACATGGAAAAGATAGGTTAAGGAGCAAAGAAAATAAATAAATAAATACACAAATACAACTTTCTTTTCAAGCAGGAATTACAAATTGAACCTGACTGAGCACAGTACCACTCAAATGTAAGTTACCAAAACGATACTAGTGCCCAGACTAATGAAAATGTAGGCAGTATGTGTCTTTTGTCATGTTCTATACACAAATTTCAGAAATTGTTTCACATACTTAATGTAAGAATATTGAGAAATGCTTCAATATTTCTGTAGTGCTTTCAGTGCTTTTATATTTGAAGAAATTTGCACAGAGATACTGTGAAGAGGATTATTCATTCTGAACAATAATGAAATTGCTAAAAAAGCCTTTTTTTCAATCTAATTAATGAAATGAGCAGATGATCAAATTATAAGTAACCACTCATTTTGAATTGAAGTGTCCTCATGGCAAATGCTGAAAAGAACAATATCTGTATTTGTTTCAAATACGAACCTATACTAAGATCAGTTAACGCAGTGTGGGTTAACACATGATACATGTGACCATGTAGCAGATCTGCATTAGCTTGAATGTTTCTCTTAGCTATATAACTCCTTGATTTTACCAGACGTTGACATTCCCTGCTGTAAACTACAGATAACTCCAATGACTGTTGAGTAAAAGCAAATCACCAAACCAACAGCAGCAAAAACAAACAAACAAAACACAACCCACCAACAAAAAAGGTGCCATGCTTTGAGTTGAAACTGAAATAGTTGTACTGTTTTCCAGTATTTTCCACATTATTTTTGACTCTACTGCACTGTTTTCACACTAGTCTTAGCTTTTTATTTAAGGTTTGCAAATGGCTTCTCTAAAAGATGAGAAGTGTGTCCTAGATCAGGATTCTTAACTATTTCATAGCAAAATTCACTTTATCATAGAGCCTTTTTTCAGTCCCTGCCTTCCATTATATACATATTTGTTTGAACAGATCCATCTTATATAATAAGTGTTTTATATGTGTTTGACTTCTGTAACTTCAGTCCAATGAAAATTGGAGTCTCTGGATTCAAAATACACCAAAAAAACAAAAACAAAAACAAAACAAAACAAACACTTAAAATAATCTGATTTATCTTAAATAATATGAGGCCACATTTTATACTTCACATTTACACCCAGAAGAAATTTTTATTTTCTGTGGAATAAGCACAGTTAAAGATAAAAATTAGATACCCTGAAGCCTCACAATTTTTTTTTTTAATTTAGTTCTTCCAATCCACTTTATTAGCTCATGGCTATTAAGAGAAGTTAATTACAATTCCAGCAGAGTTCATTGCAACGTATTTTAAAACTAAACGTACAATACTACATTTTAGAATTGTTATGTGAAATTCAGCATTTAAAATTCTACAGATGTCAATGAACTTCTAACCTACAACAATATCAGCAAATAGAATTAACCTGGTTTTAAGTTTTCACAGGCTGTTCTGAGGGATTAGTTTGTGATGCTTTGATTGTATCCTACTTCAAATTCTTTGTATGGTCTCAGGGATCTATTTGCAAATTCATCTATGAAAGTGTAATATAATTTTTAAAAACAAATAAAATAACTCAAAATTGAATAGTAAAACTTAAATAAATGAGAACTCCCAAATTCATGGTGCTCCAAGCAAATGTAGAATAATTGTACTGGAAATATTTGTGCCTTTTTAATAATCTTTATGAGATTATCCATGTTCTTAAAATTAATATACTCACAGAACTTGAAAAGACTCATGCTAATCACCTCAAGTCAGAGGAATTAACATCTCTTTATTAATACAGAAATGCAGTTTGCATTTCTACCTTCCTTGAAACTCATGTAATGTAATCCTTTGCAATACATGATATGCAAAGAAAAATTTACTTCTCTGAATCAGATTAGTTGACTTAGTAGTAATCCACAAGATACAAAGAAAAAAAACACATAAAATATTATTTGCATCCATTAATATGTGATTAAACAGTGGCACTGAAACAAATTATTTCCCCATTAAAAACTTGGAAAAGCCTCTATGAAGTGTGAATTCTTATGTGGAAATTTATGGAAAACATTCTCAAAAAGAAAACTGAGGGATAAATTAAGACTCAGATATGCCTTATATGTGTCCTTCTATGAGATTAAAAAGTACATATTCCTTATTAACTTATAGGACCCTGAGCTGAGTCTCTCAGTATGTATTTATAATGTTGTATATACACATACATAAATATATATAAAATAAACCATTTATATGTATTTGCCTAAAAATAGTAAAAAATACTGATGGTCACCTTAGCAGTTCTAATCAAGTAGAAGGAGTACTAACTCATTAGGGCTAGTCCTTAGAAGATGAAAGAAGTATCTTATTTTTAGTGTAATAAAAACATGATAGTAAAAAGATAAATACTTTAAAAGATGTCATTTATTTCGACTGCTGGAGAATGACACTGTGGCATTAAGATGAAAGCTGAAGGAAGAGTAAATATTTTCTGAGTAGAAATTTAACTTTTAGATGAGGGAGAAAAGTTGCACATTAACTCACTAATTGGAGAACAGTCAGCAGAAATCAAGATGATATCTCTTACAGCAGTAAGACATAGAAAACCAGATCATCAAATTAATGTTAATCAAAAATTGTGAAAAAATTATAAAAATAAGAATATCCTCTTCATCCACAGAGCACATATACCAAATATTAATTATGAATATTTCTCAATTGCGAAACAATTTAATGTGCCACAGATAGCATGCAGCTTCTCAGTCAGAACATGAGAATCTTTAACCCCAACAACATTGCTGTTGGCAGTGAGGAATCTGTAACTGGACATTTTTTCACTGTTATAAGACAACTTACTCATGGCAAACTGGAAAACAGAACTCTAAAATAAATATAAGCTATCAAGCTCTCTCACTTCATTCCCAATAGGAAAAAATGTGGGCAGAGATATGAAACAGTACAGATACTCTACTACTTCTAACTTATAAATCATTATTGAGGTGCAGTATGATGTATTATTTAAGACTTTTTTACATCTCCACTTGTACAGTTATTTTAGCTAAAGTCATATCTGTTGGCATGCAGAGAAGTTATCCTAATTGGGAAAGAAAGTACCAATGTTTTAGTTCATCTTTGAACCAATCAATATTTAACTAACAATATGACAAAATAAAAAAAATCTGCAATTAAATGCCATGTGAGTAAGATGGCAATAACATTTTTTACTGATACTTCTCTATATACTAAAATATCAAGATAGGTACTTGTACAGAAAACTCATTTTTCTTTTAGAATATCCCCAGTTTAAAACATTTCTAACGTGAGATTTTTGTTGTATTTTCTTTTGTTTTGTTCTTTAAGTTGCAGATTTCTCCCATAGCCCACATTCTTACTGGCTGTACTTGAAGTTATACCAGAGTTTATCTTCATTTAAATCATTACTCCTCAGCTGGGGAGTGCATAGTAGCTAGTGCATAAAGGTAATCTGTAATATTTAGTATATGACAGTAGCAAGGTTCCTGAAGCAACTTATGGAAATTCTGCATATGTTTTATCTCGTCTGAAAGCGTTTTTCAGAATTTCCTCTGGAAACCATTACTGCAGAATGAAAAGTGAAACTGGGGCAGCTCTTGGCTCCACAGAATTATTAAGCACTTCCACTCATTCTGATTTCTCTCAACCCCCGGTAACCCAATAAAAATTTTAGGAATAGTTCTTTATTAGAAATGTGCTTCTGCAATAACAGGCAAAGGAATATATAGGAGAGAAGATAAGCTTGAGAAGAGCACACAACTGCACTCACAACATTATTGCTGACATAGAAATTATGTTAACCAGAAGACCAGTGGTAACCAGGGCTGCATCAAAAGAGGGGTGGCCAGCAAAAAGGGGGAGGGATTGTCCTCTCTGGTACACCCTTGTGAGGCCCCATCTGGAGTTCTGTGTTCAGCCCTGAGGCCCCAGTATAAGAAGGATGTAGAGTTGTTGGAGTGGGCTCAGAGGAGGGCCATGAAAAGGGAGGGAGCAACTCTTCTATGGAGAAATGATGGAACAGCTGGTCTTAATCACCTTGGAGAAGAGAGGCTCCAGGAAGAAGTCATGGCAGCTTTTCAGTACTTGAGAGTAGCTTATAAACAGGAGCAAGAACAACATTTTACAAATCTTATAGTGATAGGAGAAGGAGGAAAGGCTTTAAACTAGAAGTGGGGAGATTTAGGTTAGATGTTAGGAGCAAATTCTTTACTCAGAGGCCAGTGAGGCCCTGGCACAGGCTGCCTGGAGAAGCTGTGGATGCCCCATCTCTGGAGGTGCTAAAGGCCAGGTTGTTTGAATTATGATTATAAGAAAGTGTAGTATAGTGTCAAATATTAGAAATATTAACTTTCCTGAAAATCATTCACCTTGGGAGAAAGCACAATCAATACTTTCTTAAGTTCAGGGTAAATCACCTGTGATTTTTAAAGCTAATAGATGCCATTACTTTCACCAGGAGATGGTGGGTTTGTTGTTCACTCATGGTCTTGAATTTATTAAACAGAAAAGAATAGGAAATCTTGCTGCCATGACATGCTCACACTCTTTCCTACACTTGATTGAATTGTAACAGCTTGATCTTGACCCTTCTGAAATATTAGTTTAAGCATGTAGTTCCTGAAGACTTCTAACTTGACAGGTCCACTCTCCACTCATTACTCTGCATTTCTCCTGGTATATTACCACCAAGAAAGATATAATCACTGTAATTCCTTCAGAGACAGTGAAGGAGATAGAATAGAAACACTATTTCTCCCTGCAATAACTCAGCAAATCCTTTGTGTGAGTTTTGAAGCTTAGAGAGGTCACAGTTACATGTGCACCAAGGTCAATACTAGTGCCATATTAGATCTTCGGATCAAGGATTATCCTTGTCAAAGAATGTGAAGGGGACATCTTATTGCAAGGGAGCTTTTCCTTTCTTACTGAAGGGGAAATTGTATCTATGCTTTAGAAATACACTAATGTCTGTACCACAGTACTACTACTAGGCATCTAAGGAAATATACTTGTTCAGTGCCTACTTAGTGTACAACAGAGCTTTCATTGGGTTCAATTCTGAAGTATAGATTTATTCTTCAGCAGTGACGTACAATGGCCTTATAGAAACCCATTTCCAACAAAAATTTAAGACAAAGCTTTACTAGATTTTTTCACCCAGCTCTGCAAGTAACTTTTGGGGAAATGCATTTAGATTTGTTGAAATAAATTTCTTTGCTTTCTCTCTGTGCTCTGCAAGTTATGTTTAAGGTTGTGGTCTCAGGCACAAATGCTCAGAGTCCACATGTGCCTTTCTGATTGTTTTCAGAGCATCTGTACTCAGATGTACCTTAAACTGTTCTTCCAATGCTAAAATACAGGAAATAGAAAAAAAATCTCAGACTTTTAAGGAAAAATACAGATCACAGCATGGACAGGCAAGTAGCACATGAGAAAGGGTTGATGATAGCTTGGGAATGCAACTGTCTCTACCTTCTGTGTGTAGAAGACACCTGTTTATGAGAACTGCCCTGCAGCAGTAGGAAGTATTCATTCTCATTTATAACTTTGAATAAATAAGATACTTGTATGTAATAATAGCATATTCCTAACTGCTTTTTCCTAGTTGCAGTTATTTTCTTCATAGTACGTAAAATAAAAGTTCTTTTTAACTTGCTTAGCAAATTTTGGGGAGCAGAAGGTGGTTGCATGAAAGTCTACTATTTATACAAATTTCTATCTAACAAAGTTATTCTCAGCAATTTTTTATTATTCTTGTTATATTTTCCAGGGAGAGATTCTCCAGGGCTTTTCTCCCTATGTATTAGAGAAGCTTCTTGATAGTGTAATATTTTTATCTGGGTTGAGACACTTTTTATGCATATGTTCAGTATTTCAGCACATACACTGTAAATTTGGGAGTGCATAATTTACCTCAAACCAAAGAGGCTGATAGCATTTTCATGGATAATACATTATGTGCGACATCTGCCAGGCTCCTTACCATCACACCACACTTCTCCACAACGGTTTATGAGGAGAAATAAAGAAATTTTAGTGTCGGCAAAGATATCCAGAGTAAGAGAATGTAATTATCTCACTGGGGATTTAGCTAGGACAGCAGGCCAAAACACTGCTATCAGTGTGCCAGATTGTCTTTAACAACTACATGAGGCCAGATCTGCAATATGCTTTTCTGTAAGACTAACATTTTGTTGGGAAGTCAGAACCAAGTGAAATGCCAAGATAAAATTGAGGTGCTCTTTGTGGTTTCTCAATACACAGTTCAGTAAACACAATGTTAGGATGCAGAATGCATACTTATACTGCTGCAGAATGAAAATACCTTAGACATAGTGAAAGCAGACAAAGAGAAAGCCAGATGGGTATCTTTCACCATAATCAGTCCCCAGAAGAGGATAGCAGGGTTAGATTTGACTTTGCAATTTTGCATCCACACTACACTTAGCATTAGCCTATGGGAGAGCCTTTGGTATATGTTAATTACAGACAAAATATTTAATGGAATTACAAAATTGTTTACTGTAAATGGTTATGCCATGTTGAAATAGATCCCAAGGACTTGTAGTTATTCAACATTCATGCAGCATTTACCTGTTAAACATTAACTACTGAGGTTAAGAAAGCAGAAGCAATACAAGAACTTTCAGTATTCAAAGCCTATCCATGTCCCAAATCAACATGGATGTCAGGAACTGTGATCACCTGGATAACTTTCAGCATCTTCTGTTTCATTTCTTGATTCAGGCAGATGTCCTAAAGGAAAAAAAGAGTTTCTTTAAGCAATATTTTGGCTACTTTACCCATGAAGATTTTAATATACTAACCTATAAAACAGTTTTAAGAGAAATTTGGTGTGTAAATTCCAGTTATATAAGCAGAAATGGGATGTTCTCTATGAACTGAAGTTCATGCAGACAAAAACAAAACAAAACAATTCATATTTAGCATTATGTCAACTTGTGGGCTATGAGAGTGGTGAAATGCTGGAACAGCTGCAACACAACAGAGAGGCTGTGGATGCCCTGTCCATCCCTGGAAGTGTTCAAGGCCAGGTTGGATGGGGCCCTGGGCAGCCTGGTCTGGTATCTGGGGGATTTGAGCCTCATGATCTTTGAGGTCCTTTCCAGTCCAAGCATTCTATGATTCTATGATAAAAAATTGTAGCATGGAAGCCACACTAAAAGAGCAAGTTATTAAAAAGATGTTGGCCTAGATTTTCAGAGCTAGAAAAAAAAATATCTATAACCTGGAGCTTTTTCTGTGCATATTTATCCTTTTCATTTAACATAAGATATTTTATCAAATAGGCTAACATATATCCGTTATTCTTCAAGCTGAATGGAATTCAGAGGTTTGAAACTTGAAAATACTGAGCAGAGCAGCACATTGGCAGCTGTTGAAGCTTCATGTCATGAAGACATGAACCGTTCAATCGGTATCAGAAAGGATTATACTTTCACTACAAAATTCTGACACATTTCTTAGTTAAATCTGTATACAACACAGGATCACCGCTCGAAGTTTATATCATCACAGAGACTGGGAAAAACGATGCCTTGTTCTGATAATTTTGTTCCTGTGAAAAAAAGAAATCTAGGCTGATAAAGTAACATATATACTTTTTTTTTGTATCTAACGTTTACTACTTACTTACTTGAGAATCTCCTGCCATAAATAAAAATGAATATTGCATGTGACAGTACAGATCTGTGGCACCAAAATTTTTGAAAAGTGTGCTTCAATGTCTGTAGTACTATTGTTGTTTGAAATAGACATGAAATAACATAATTTCTTACCGAAATTACTATGGTTTCTTTCTTCTATTCAGTATCAGATATGTTGAAGAATTTTCACGATACAAAGAAACATTAGTACTCTAAAAGTGATTCAGAAAAAAATTCCTTAAAATTATTCTGCTGTATAATTACTTAATTATTTTGTCTATAGAGGCATTGAGTGTTTACAAAAAGGGTGAGGTAACCCCTTTGATCACAGCCTACAGGAGATGCATACTGATTTATGAGTTAGATTTGCATGTCAAAACTTATTTGTTTCACTTACTTGTGGTACAAATGACCTTCCTATTCTAGGAAATTATTTACATGTTAATTATTTACATGTTTACAAGTGTGTTACCAAGTAATCAAAGACAAAACCTATGTCTGTAAAACAAATAAAGCTAGGAAACGATTAAACATAGATTTGCTCATTACAAATAGATATTCTATACATAAAATCAAGTGCCTCTAGAAGGGAAAAAGCGAAGCCCTGTATCCTGTAAATGCATCTGCAGGTAAATTAGCTTTCCGATAAGGCCTGTATGCACCAGTAGTAAATGTGTCAGTATTTTATGTGGCACTGAAACGGCATTTCTTATCCATTAAAATCATACGATCATAAAGTCATCAAGGTTGACCACTAAAATCATCTAGTCCAACCATCAGTTCATCATCACCACACCTACTAAACTATGTGCCACATCCCACCTTTTCTTGAACACCTTCATGGACAGGTGACTCCACCACTTCCCTGGACAGCCTGCCCCACTACCTTACCACATTTTCTGAGAATAAACTTTCCCTAATGAACCTCCCCTGATCAATTAAGTCCATTTTCTCTGGTTCTATCGCTGTTACCTGTGAGAAGAGGCTGACCCCTACCTTGCTACAACCTCATTTCAGGAAGTTGTAGAGAGCAATAACATCTCCCCTGAGCAATTCCCTGTACAATATGGCCACATCACTCAACCTCTTAATAAACTGGCTAAATTAATATTAAAATACAACCCTACGTTCCTCTGATTCTGTTCAATTCTTTCATAGTTTTATTCAATTCTTTTATAGTTTTATAACTGTCCTAATTATTTGAAAGCTTCTAGATTTTAATGTAAATTTATTCATGGCTAATTAATTTCTAGTCTTTATGCTTTTGTTTTCAGTTCAGGGGAGATCACTCTTCTTCTCCAGCAGCCATCTTCTAACCATTGCATTTATGAAGAGCAACCACATCTCCTCTCATCTTTTGGTTTTCTTGGATGAAAATAACAAATTGTCATCTGCATTTTCTCAGGTAGGCTTTCCATATTCTTCTTCACTGCAACTGTTCCATTCATAATTAATTATTCCTGTAATTGTTGTACCAGAACTCTGAGAGGTGCTATGCATGAGGTTTTAATAGTGACTTATATAATATTAATAGTGCCCAATAATTAAAGAATATGATCATCAGATACATATTATCATTCTCCTTCGACATGGTTATACCAAAGTAGTAGGTAGTCACATCATCATGAAAATAAGAGCTGGGCAAAATCCCACAAAACAAATGACAGTGCATCTGTGTTAGCTATTATATGATCATGCTACAGATTATAAGACAACTACAGAAACTGTTGTTTTCATATGTTGTCCAGATGTACAAAATCATTACATGTCTTTTTGTTACAGAATGGTGCAGAGATTAATAAAAACTCCATAGAGTAATACTTATTATCTCACTTTGCTTTCTGTTAGCAATAGCATATGAGTGTGTGCATGTGTATAAGGTCAGAGAAGAGAGGAAGATGAGACAAATGATTTGAATGTTAACTTAAAGCATCTGGTAAATGAAACTGCAAAATTACCTAAAGCTAATTCTACAGAGTAAACTTCTTTTACACGACATTTCAATTCTCCTCTTCAAATGTAAATATCCAGTAAGTTTTATAAACTGTTTCTGTTTTTTAAGTGAACTTTACGTATTCATTTCAGGGCAAGACTGATTGTTCAGTGCAATGATGATATGACTCTGTGTTGCTAAATACTTGGCAAAGGGAGTTGAGAATGCCCAGACCAAGGACTGAGCAAATATTTTGAATCAGTATTTTGGAGATCAGCCACAAGACCAGAAGCTGGGGAAAACACTGATAACTGAATCTAATTTAGAGAGAAAAACATTCAGTCAAAATAAAAATAAATAAATAAACACTAATGTATAAATTAATAGTAAATTAGTGGACAAAAATATTTTTCTGCAGATCACAGAATCACAGAATCACCAAGGTTGGAAAAGACCTACAAAATCGTCCAGTCCAACCACCCATCACCAATAGTTCTCACTAAACCACCTCACTCAACACAAAATCCAAACGTTCCTTGAACACCTCCAGGGTCGGTGACTCCACCACCTCCCTGGTCAGCCCATTCCACTGCCTGACCACTCTTTCAGAGACATAGTATTTCCTAACGTCCCCTGGCACAGCTTGAAGCCATTCCCTCTAGTTCTATCACCAGTCACATGAGAGAAAAGGCCGACCCCCAGCTCACTACAACCTCCTTTCAGGCAGTTACAGAGAGCAATGAGGTCTCCCCTGAGCCTCCTCCAGACTGAACATTCCCAGCTCCTTCAGCCTCTCCTCATCAGCCCTGTGCTCCAGACCCCTCACCAGCTTTGTTGCCCTTCTTTGAACCCGCTCCAGGGCCTCAATGTCTTTCTTGCAGTGAGAGGCCCAAAACTGGACGCAGTACTCGAGGTGCGGCCTCACCAGAGCTGAGTACAGGGGAAAATCACTTCCCTGTTCCTGCTGGCAACACTGTTTCTGATGCAAGCCAGGATGCCATTGGCCTGTTTGGCCACCTGGGCACACTGCTGGCTCATGTTCAGCCGAGCATCAATCAATACCCACAGGTCCATTTCCTCTACACAGTCTTCCAGCCATTCTGCCCCAAGCCTGTAGCGTTGCCTGGGTTTTTTGTGGCCAAAGCGCAGGACTCGTCACTTGGTTTTGTTGAACCTCATCCCACTGGCTTCAGCCCAGCTCTCCAGCCTGTCCAGATCCCTCTGTAGGACCTCGCTACCCCCAGGCAGATACACACTTCCAGCCAATTTGGTGTCTGCAAAGTCTGCAAAGCTACTGAGGGTGCACTCGATGCCCTCATCCAGGTCATCAATCAAGATATTGAAGAGGACAGGCCCCAGCACCGACCCCTGGGGAACATAACTTGTGACAGGTCTCCAGCTGCATTTAGTTCCATTCACCACCACTCTCTGGGCCTGGCTCTACAGGCAGTTCCTTATCCGGCCTAGAGTGTACGTGTCCAAGCCATGGGCTGCCAGCTTCTGCAGGAGAATGCTGTGGGAGACAGTGTCAAAGGCTTTGCTGAAGTGTAGGCAGACTACATGAACAGCCTTTCCCTCGTCTACCAAACGGTCACTAGATCATAGAAGGACATCAGGCTGGTCAAGCAGGACCTGCCCTCCGTGAACCTATGCTGGCTGGGCCTGATCCCCTGGTTGTCCCACACGTGCCGCGTGATCTCAACACAAAAATCTGTCAGTTGGAGAGGATGTGTCTTCACATTCTGTCTTGTTGGGTTAGAGGCCAAGACACCAACAGTCTGCATATTTAATTTAATGTTGATGAATTCAATGTATATTAAAAAATCTGCTTATTGATATTTATAAAGCTAAGTAATCAATGCAGAAAAAAAAATTACTGCATACAGAAATTAAAAACGTGTGCGAGTGTTAGTTTATGTACACATACATCAGTATATAATTATATGTTTATTTTTGTGAAATACGAATATGTGCATGTGTTATAGAATAATAGAATAATTAGGGTTGGAATGGATATTGTTTTAACCCCACTGCCATAGGTAGGCACATCTATACTCACTAGACCAGGTTGTCCTATCCAATCCTATCCAATCTGGCCTTGAATATTTCCAGAGATGGAGAATCCACTGGTTCTCTGGGCAATATCATCACCCTCATAGTAAGGAATATCCTCCTAACATCAAATCTAAACCTACCCTCCTATTTCAAAGGACCCCATGTCCTGTCAATGCACTCCCTGACAAAGAGTCCCTCCCCACTTTTACTGTAGACTCCCCTTAGGCATTGAAAGGCCACCACAGCACTTCCACAGAGCCTTCTTTTTCCAGGATGAACAGCTTCATCTATCTCAGCCTCTCTTAGTAGGAGAGATGTACTAGCCTTCTGATCATCTCTATGGAACTCCTTTTGACCCGCTCAAATGGCTTCACATCTTTCCTGTGTTGGGGGTGGATGCAGTACTCCATGTGACATCTTATGAGAGCAGATCAGAAGTGGATAATCTTCTCCCTCACCCTGCTGTCCACATTTATTTTGATGCAGCCCAGGATGCATAGAATCATAGAATCACCAAGGTTAGAAAAGAATTCCAACATCATCCAGTCCAACAGCTGACCTTCTGGATTGCAAACACACATTGACAGCTCATGTTGAATTTTTTATCAATCAAGAGCCATAAGTCCTTCTCCTCAGGGCTGGTGTCAATCCATTCTCCACCAAATCTGCATTCATGCTTGGGATTGCTCCAGCCCAGGTGCAGCACCTTGCTCTTGATTTTGTGGAACTGCATGCTGTCTGCACAGGCCTATCTCTCAAGTCTGTAAGATTTTTAAAGTAGCAGAGAAAGCAAGTTTGAAAACATTCAGTGTTCCTTTGGTTTCTTTTTTGTATATGTAAGTCTTAGAAGCATAAACAATTTAGCACTTTACTTCTCTTGTTCAAAATATGTATGTGGCATTAACAAAGAGTTTTTTGAGGTTATATTAGGAGATAAAAGCATATTTATGTTCATCTACAAAACCTGAAAAGGCAGCATGATTTAGCAGAGCACAATACAAATCATTTCTATTTCTAACAATAAGAGTGATCACTGAAGCACTGTCAAACACTTGCAATCACGCCTCTGCCTAATATTTTATTAAATGATCTAAAAAAATGACTCAAGCAATTTTAAATTTTCCATTAAAGAGGAAGTGAGAATCTTGTGTTGATCTCTAAAGCTTTTAGCCACAAGATATGATGTACATGATTTGTTTCTTGAAACAAAATAGTATGTTAGACA